TTTTGGCTTTTACCAACATATGCTTCATAATAAAAATGGCCTAGTTCCATTTCCATATAAAAAATGGCAAATTTCCAATCCAATGGGAACCAGCACTAATATAATTCCTACCTTTACAGGGTTAAGCTTTGGGAGGCCTTGAGGAAAACGTTTCTGAAGCTCCTGTACAGCAAGCAGGATGCTTTGCCTTGCTTCCAATGGCCGAAGATCCCCAGGAACAGATATTCTAAGTTTACTGAGCGAAGAAATCAGGGGTAATTGAACAGGAACCTAAAATTTGGCAACATACTCAGGAATAAAGTCATATTCTAATTAAGTTGTAAGCAATGAATGATTATTACAAAATTATGTACTCACCACATGCATTTCTCCCTTCTCCCCTGGACGAGGAGGACATGGTTTGGGTTGAGAACCATTTTCACCAGAACCAAGAGAGCAATGAAGTAGGGTATCAACAATATATCCAGTGCCACGTGAAGCAGAGAGTGCAGCAGGCAAAGAACCTGACGGTGCCGGAGGCTTCCTCACCACATTGACTACAACACCCCAACCCCAATCTTTTCCACCTTCCCATACCTTCACCTGCAATCACCAAAGCAATCTACACGCTAAGATGAACCGTCTAGACTAATCAGAGCTCAATCTACTCACAGAAAATGCAGCAGAAAATAGAGATGCTTCTCTCGCCACTTACCAGCCTACCAGGAAGAAGAAAATGGAGAACCCTTTCAGGTCGTGTTATTTCAGCCATAAGTTTTCTTTCACGTTCTGCTATCTCAAGTTTTAGTTTATGATATTCTGCAACCTCAGCCTACAAGTAGACAGAAGCAAGTTCAGGATATACGGCATAAGAATATATATGTAAAATACCAAGATAACAACTTTATTACCTCCCCGGATGCATCAAGCATCGCAGCTTCTTCTTCCAGCTTAGAGACCTTCTTCCCAATGTCAGGTAACGCCTAACAAAAAGACAACCTCACTGTCAGTCATTACATATAACGTAGTCAAAGAGAAAATGGACTTAGACAAAGAGAAAACCTTTTCATACTGAAACTGGTGAAATGAGTTTTTGATAACATGCTCAGCAGTAAATTGGCCTTGGGCATGACTCATTAAATTCAAAATTGTGTAGTAACTCAGCCTAAATGTGCTGACTAATGGAGCTGGCTTACCCAATACCATGTCCTTGAGGCTATTCATCTCCATCTGAAATCATCAAACACTACGTAAGCCCTCGATCTAAACAGCTAAGAAGAATAGAAAAGATGCCTTAGATATACTTAACTACATAGTTTGCATATGCTTAAGTGGCAAACAAAAAACACACAATTCAAGAAGGCAATAACAGTTATAAACAAGATACTCTTCAAGTGAGAATATTACTACCAACTTACCTGCTCTTCAATCATGATAATACAAATACCACGGTCATCTTTGCCACGACGTCCTGCTCTTCCACTCATCTACATGAAAGAGAGGAGAATATGAAGAATCAAGAACCGAAATGCAAATGATATTTAAGTCATGTTATATGGGCTTTTATGTCATGTTATATGGGCAATTCTGACTCACCTGAATATACTCACCAGATCCAATGTAACGATGACTATCACCATCCCATTTCTTTACATTGGTAAAAACAACAGTTTTTGCAGGCATGTTTAGCCCCATGGCAAACTATCAAAACATTAGAAGGAAAAACAACAAAGAAGAAAAAATCATTAGGGGTGTTTAACTGCACAAGATAAAAAGACCCACAAAATATTAAAAGAAAAGTCATTACTGTCTCTGTTGCAAAAAGAGCCTTTATAAGTCCTTCTTGGAAGAGAAGTTCCACAAGTTCCTTGATAACAGGAAGCAGGCCAGAATGGTGAACAGCAATTCCACGCTGAAGTAGGGGCAACATCAATTCAATAGCTGGTAAGTTTCTATCTTCCTCGCTCAAGCAATCCATTGCATTACGGAAAACCTCATACACTACTTCCTTCTCCTCTTCGGTATTAAAATCAAGCTTGGGCATAGACATTGCATGTTGTTCACATTCTCTTCTACTAAAACTGAACACAATGACTGGCTGAAACTTCTTTTCCATGGTCATCTAACAGATAAAGAATCAATTGCTTCAGTGATATGAGGCATCAACATTGTTATAGTAAATCATTAAAGCAACTATAAAGGAAAATGCATTAGGACACAGTGCCATAAGCACAAAAGAGTAACAAGGTCCATGGGGCTTGAAGGGAAAAGCGAGAAGTGGAGCGCACTAAAGAAAATTTAAAAATATCATATGTATGAATATAGTACTATGATAATCAAATTGCAATTAAAATAACTAATTTCAACATCTAACATACAATAATACCGATATTAATCTAACTCCTTGAAATTAACATAAAAAGGACTTGGACCATTTTGCACGTCATCATTAGAAGCAAAAATTCCTGTGAAGAGCATAGCTTCACTCATGAAGCAAGCTTAATTTTGTAATAACACTGTTATGGGGAAAAAAATAATTTATAGAACAAAGAAAGAATTAAAAGAAAAAATAAGAGAATATAATATCATCTAAAGACCAGACTACACACACCTTGACAATTTTGCAGATATCCGATACACCAGAAGAAGAGCCACCTCTAGCAATTCTACCTCTAACCTTAGCAGCATTTGCAGTGCTCTTATTTTCCCCCGATTTCTGTATTGCAAGACTATCCTGCATCTTAACAAAATTGTCCTCCCTAAACTGCTCATTCTCATCAACCACAAGATACAATCCAGAACCACCCACAGGGAACATATAATGCTGCAAAGGGGTAGGCCGAAAATCTGTATACACCACATGACAAGGCTGCTTATGAATATTACAAATCCATTCAGCAAACTGAGTAGCATTCGACATTGTAGCCGAAAGAAACACCATCTTAATAGCCGGTGGCAAGAATATAATACTCTCTTCCCAAACTACCCCTCTCTCGCGATCTTTCATGTAATGTATCTCATCAAATATAACCCAAGCTACTTCCTTTAATACCTCAGAACCTCTATAAAGCATACCCCTTAAAATCTCCGTCGTCATCACCAAACAACTTGCATTTGGCGAAATTGTGACGTCACCAGTCATCAAACCAACATCACTAAACTCATGGCTTAATTCCCTATACTTCTGATTGCTCAATGCTTTCAAAGGTGAAGTATAAATAACTCTCTGCTTATCCCTAAATGCCATTGCGATTGCGTACTCGGCGACTGCTGTTTTCCCGGCGGAGGTATGTGCGGATACAAGAACTGATTCTTTGCGTTCCAAGCAGGCGACGGATACTTCCTGAAATGGGTCGAGCTTGAAGGGGTAGGTTTTTGCCATTTCGCCGTTATAAGAAGGGTTTGAGAGGGCTCCATGGATTGTTTCGTCGTTGGTTGAAGTGTAATTAGTTGGAACTGCTACCTCGTGGACACAGGTTCGAGCTAAAGTGACTCTCTTTGAGGAGGATGAATTTAGCTTCTGGACTGAGTTCACGTCGGAGTTCTCCTCCTCCGGTTGCTTTCTTTTCCCTGCAGTCGGAGAAGAAGACTCCATCTCAGCTTGTTTTAGGGTTTAGGCTTAAACCCCTCTCTGAAGTATACAATCAATTCTGGCAGCCCGCTCTCCCTGAAAGAAAATAGGTGATGTTTATTTGGGAGAGAATGACAATAATGGGTCCTTAGTGTTATAAATATACTTGGGCCTTGTTTGCACTTAACCGAGATATGAATCTGAATCATTCAGATCTATCTCATTAAGTGCATTTGTTTTTTAAATCTTAACCCTAATTATTCAGATTCAGCCCATTAATTTATTTGTTTTCTCTCTCTTAAAAGCTCTTAATAGGTCTGAAAGGATCTTATTCGGGCAGATCCATAACAGAGTCCTACTAGTGTTCAGACTCTTTGAAAAAAACGATACTACGTTATTTCCGCAAAGATTCGCTCAACGATAAGCCTTTATTTTAGCAAAGTTTCACGCTTTCTTCATCATCTGTGCATATAAGTATCACGCCTCCACTCTTCATCTATCATCTTCTACTCAAGCTTGTTTTCTCTTGAACAGGTAAGATTTTAAAATCTTTAGAAAGTATTTTGTTATTATATTGTGAAATTTGCAATATACTTGCCTATTATTTTGTGAAGCGAGTTTCAAGATTTCAATTCGTATTCTCTAATAGTTAATTCTAAAGTGAAAAATTAAGCAAAAAGTTGTTCAAACTCTGGCATTAAACTTTGATGAAAATTGGAACTTAGAGATGTGTTAATTCCTATTGATTTCTTATGCTTCAAAAAATTGTGAAGCTTCGGTCGAGTAGAAAGTGTTAGAAGAATATTAATGAGTGTAAAGAATTAATCTGAGCCTCCAAAATTATCTGTTCAAAATCACAAAATAAAAATTAAAAAGAGTATAAAGAGTTGTGTCTTCCTTGAGCATCTATGGAAGTCCAACTGCCAAACTTCATCGAAGCATATTTCTATGAATATATTCAGATTTCTCCACATATTTTGACCAACAGATAAAGAACTTTTAGCATGTTCTGTGTTTCTTTTAGATAGATTTTTTTTTTTCCAAAGATCTCCACTAGCCATGTACTACCTTAGCTTTCTTGGAAAAGAACAAAATGTAGTTAAGAATTTATAGCATGCTACTTCTCGGAGGACCTCCGTTCTGGAACTGTTAGCTGTTTGCCTTATGTTTATTCTTTGTTCAATTGAATATTCAAGTCTCTTTCCTTCTTTTAATAAATGTCTATTCCTCCCTCATATCTTTCTCTGCCCCCTTCACAATAAATTGAAATTCATGTTCACTTGTATGAAGAGTAAAAGATGCTTACGCACTTGTGTCTGCTTCTATAGATTTTTTCTGCTAAATATAAATCTCTTTTTCTATTTTTGATTTTTTATATTGATTGTCTCGGTCTGCTACTTCTATTTTCATCAGTCATATCCTATAATCAGTATTATTTTATATTTCAGCTATGGAACAATCTAGTGAAAACTCAAGAGCGAGTTGGAAAAATATGGACGTAGTAAAAACGTTTTTAGAAAGTTGTATTCAAGAGATATCCTTAAACGGGAGACTTGGAAGTAGTTTGAAGGCAGATTCATGGAACAAGGTTAAACTAGTTTTGGAGACTACTCATGGCTTTAGCGTCACACAAAAGCAGATGAAGAATCATTATGACTATCTAAAAGAAAAGTATCAAGCTTGGTTGTCAATAACTAAAAAGACTGGCAATATTTATGACCCAGTAACCAATACCATTCTAATGTATAATAGTGAGTGGGATGAATACATAAAGGTTAGTTCATTATCTAGTAATTTAGCCTTTTATTTTCTTTTTTCCGTAAGAAAAGGATTTGACATGCATATTAAAATTTCTTTATTATAGGCTCATCCAAAAGCAAAGGCATTGAAGACTTCACCTCTACCCTTCCCTGATCTTTGTACTAAACTTTTTGAGGGTTCTACAACAACAGGAATTCATGGTTGGAGTCCAAGTTGTACATATCCTCGTCCTGTTGTCTCTTCTGTATCTACTACTATAGATATAGATACACTTGATAGCGTCGAAGATCTAGTTGGTAACAAAAATGATGGAGCTCCTACTAATTATCCATCTCAGTCTTCAGTTCCAAGTGAAAGGAAACCTTTGGGAAAGAAAAAGAAGTCTTCATCGTCTCAATTGGAAATTGATGAGAAGATGAGTAATGCATTAGATATATTGATTAAAAATAATAACGGACCTGACATTGGGGAATGTATGGAAAAATTAGATGCACTTGGATGGGAAGAACCATTATACAGTGCAACTATTAGCATACTTTGTGAAGGTGACAGCTACAGGAAAGCGTGGATGAAAATTCCAGAGGACGACAAGTTAAAGAGTTGGATTAAGGACATGGGAAAAAAATTGGGAATTCTTTTATTTTGATAATTAGCTAGATTATTCAGTAGACGTTAATAATATGGAACCTTCTTTGCTTTTTCCAACTAGTATCTATTATGCTTATTCAATTTTTTAATAATATGGAACCTTTACTGTTTTATTCAACTAGTATCTATTATGCTTGTTTAATTTTTTAATATTATATTATGCTTAGAACATTTTGTTTCTGTGATATACCTTTTTAAAATATCTCGTTTGACGTATGTTTGATGTCTATGGTATTGTTTTACTGATTAATTTATTGTGTTTATGTAACTTTTTTGTTTACATACAATGTTATGCTTACTATCGTGTATTATATATTCTCTTTGTTAAAACAGTTTAGACATGGACACTGGAGATCAAATATTATGGTTGATGTGCTTGTATTGGTGTAGAAATCATTTTAGACTCAAGAATATCCAAAGAAATAAAGATTTAGCATTGTCTTTATCTGGTGATAAATACACATCAGAATTATTTTCCGGCTCTAGTCGACAATGCTTAGAATTGATGTGCATGTCTCGTGATGCGTATGTTCAACTATGTCAGCATTTTAGACATAAAGGATGGCTCGTAGATAGCAAACATATTTCTGTCGAAGAAAAGATTGCAATATTTTTGACTATTATAGGTCATAATGAGCGTTTTGTGGTTATCAAGAGAAGATTTCAACATTCTTCGCAAACGGTTCACAAATATTTTCACGAGGTTCTTGAAGCAATGATGAAATTTGCCAAAGAGGAGATATCGTCGACAACATCCGATTCAAATTTGCATATTCCTAGTTCTCATAAAAAGCTACGAAAAGTTTTTAAGGTATTATGTATTTTAAAATTATTATATATTTTCGTTAAAATTTTTTTATAACTTTTAACTTAAAAATAATTTTTTATTTATTTGCAGGGAGCAATAGGTGCACTCGACGGGACATTAGTACATGCAGTTATTCCAGCTAATCAACAAATTGTTTACAGAGGAAGAGGAAAGGGCAAATGTTATCAGAATGTTTTAGCTATATGTGATTGTAACATGGTCTTCACTTATGTTTATGCTGGATGGGAAGGGGTAGCACATGATGCACGTGTTCTAACAGAGATCGCATCTAATCCAAATAATGGCTTTCCATTTCCTCCTCCTAGTAAGTGATACAACTTATTAAGTTATTGTGAAATAATAAGTTAGATGTTTATTATGTCCATTTAACCTTCTATTTTGATGACAGACAAATATTATTTATGTGATGCGGCATATCCCAACACTCGAGGGTTTTTAGCGCCATATCGTAATATTCGATATTGGTTAGGAGATTATCATCGTAGACGGGCCATAAATAAAGAGGAAAAGTTTAACCACGCTCATGCCCAACTCAGAAATGTTATTGAACGTGCTTATAGAGTTTTAAAAGCAAGGTTCCCAATATTGGACAAGATGGCTCCATATTCTATTGATGTCCAAAGAGATATTGTTATTGCATGTTTTGCAGTTCATAATTTTATCAGGAAAGAGCATCTAAATGATGACTTGTTTAATCAATATGATTTACCTCAAGTAATATTTGAGGAAGAAGGAGAACTCGAACAAGAATTGGATGAAACAAGTGGACCTAGTTGGACAGCTGAAGATTCGCAATTTATGAACAATATGCGTGAAGAACTTGCACTTTAGCTAATGCAAGGAAGAGGAAATACTTGATAGTTTTGTATTATCGTTATTAGAAATATATTTTTAATGTTTGAACATTAGAACTTGAAAAATGTTTAATTAACTATTTTATTTGAGTTTTATATATGGTATGTTCAAATATAGATAAATTGTACAAATTCAGATACTAAAAACAAACAGTCTTAATCATTCAGTGTTCAGACCTAATGACAACATATTAATCATTCAGTTGTGTATTCAGATTCAGACGTCTGAATCTTAATACACATCTTCATATTCAGATGTGTATTCAGATTCAGACGTCTTAATCTTAATAAAAACAAATGAGGCCTTAGTCTACCCCGCGTGTACCTATCTTAATAAATAAAAATTTATTTTTAATTTATCTTTAAATTATAAAATAACAATATAAATTTCTGAAAATGATGAATATTGATCATGCATAATTATCTCTTTAAAAACAAAAACTACCCAACATAAATACTCAATCATCAGTCAATAATTCGACTGAAAATTTATTTCTAATGACGAAAATTAGAATTAGAAGTGTGTATTTGATTTTGAAGAGTCACTATTCAAGTGAGATTAATATTTAAACATATTTAAACGATTTGAGCATAAAACCCTAATAATAAATTAAGATAAATACAGATAGAGGAGAGATAAACAAGTAATATTACGCGGATTAAACATACCTTTTCAGAAAATTGATTCTTTAATCAGCAACATCGACTAAGAGAAGGCTTTGTTGAAGAACCCTAACATTTGGTCTCGTGCTTTTGTTCTTGAATAAGAGTACCGATCTGTTTTGGGTGTTCTTTAAGTGATTTGCGGGTGGGTCGGATAAAATGAATCGGGTCGTGGGTTAATTAAAAAATAGGGGTGGGTTCAATCGTCCAATCAAAGAATGCCAAGTGGATATTTTAATTTAATTGGCGGAGTAGACGGTGGAGGGACATTTTAGTTTCTGGTCCCAAACGGTAAGGACTTTTTTAATTAAATAGTATAACAGGGGTCAGATATGACTTATTTTAGATAGTAGAGGGCCATTTCTGGCCCTTTTCCGTATTTTTTTTTCAAATGACAAAAAATCGATTAGGTAAAAAATATTCATGTATGACATGGTCCTAGAAGAAGAAAAAAAGCAATAAAAATACATCATAAATCTCACAGAATTAACAATCACTATATACTATAAATAAATTCTAAATTAAATGCAAGCAATAATTGTAGTAAAAAACCCCACTTATATTCATCCTGTTATAAATATATTATATTATGGATGTTAATTTAGTACTCCGTTGTAAATAATCTTCCTGAAGAAGCTTATCCATATGGGACTCCACCGTAA